AGAAGAGGGGAAAAAGTTGTACAAGATCTTGATAACTAAGCAGCTGGATGAAAATAGCCAGAGAAAGAAAAGAAAGGTATTTTCCTGCTGCTTTTCTGATGTCACTGTTTCCCTTTGTGAGCTTTAAATTTCCTTCTCATTTCCTCTCTCCCTGGGACTTGGATTCTCAGCTAACGTTTGATATAACTTAAACATGCTGTCAGTATAGTGAAGTTACCTGTACTTGGATGCATCTTCACCATTAAACTTGATCAGGTGACTTCAGCTGTTTGTATTCTACTTCCCTTTCCATAAACTGAGGATAAGTGGATCTACATCACTGAATGAAGATTAAGTGAAACAATGCATATGCTTATTGCATGCTTGTGACCCATTAAGTCTTCCATGAATATCAGCTATGACTGTTCTCTGCCTTTACTCCATGGCAGTTCTATTCAAATGTACATTAAATGGTTGGAGAAATAAACTCAATTAGAGAATTCAACAAACGCATATTAAACTATTATATACCAGGGATACAGAGATGGATAAAAACAATGTCCATGAGGGTAGAGGCTATGTCCATGTAGCACACTATTGTATTTCTAGTCTCTGTCAAAGTACCTGACATATGGTAGATGTTTAACAACTATGTGCCAATGAGCAAACAACCAACCTTAGGAAGTAAGTGTAATTGCTCTCACCATTTTATGGATGAATAAACTGAGACTTGGAAAGGAAGAGTTGTCCAGTATCACCCAGGTAGTAAGTCACAGAATCCTAATTGAAACCACATCAGCTTGACTCCCCTCGGAGCCAGTACCTGTGCTGCATCTCTAGGAAGGGAGTGCTAACGCTAGCTCTCCACGCTGCTTGAAAAGGTGTGAATTGGTCTCCACAGTTTATCATTTTCAAAGCATAACACTGCCCTGCAGATAAGCCAAATGCTCAATAAAACATTCTCTAAGTATTGATTGAGCATCCACCTTCTTCTTTAAGACAGTATTCTAATATTTGAGGGTATAACTGTTAACATGGGAGATGTTAGTGGAAATCACGTTCCCTCCTGTGGGACAGACCCTAAACAATTAAGTATGTGATCACCCTTGCAATGGATGCTATATGCAGGCCAATGGCAGAGGTTCTGACTTAATCTGGCACACTGGTCAGGACGGCTTCCCCAGTGAATGGATTTTTAAATTGAGCTCTGAATGGAAAGTAGAAAAGAACTAACTAGAAAAGGAATGGAGAAAGAGCACTTCTTGCAGAATAGTTTGTCCCCAAGGCTCATTCGGGGCATTGCAGTAAAAGAATAAAGGCCAGTGTGCTGTATGCCCAAAGAGTGAATTAGGCAGTAAAATGGCATGAAGCCACAGAGGCAGGTTACAGCTAAAACTTCCAGGGCCTCCAAGCCCGGTTAATTGTGGTCTTTTCCTAAGTACAGTGATTTTTTAAAGAAGAGAGTGATGTGATGAGACATGATTTAGAAACATCACAGTATGAAAGGAGGCCAGTGAGAACTTTGTTGAAAGAAGATTGTAGTGTGGACCAGAATAGTAACATTGGAGATGGAGACAAGTGGGAAGATTAAAGATAGAATTTATAGACTTGGTGACTTAGATCAGGAAGATGAAGAGGAAGCAGGTCCAGGTTTTATGAGACCTGAAGCTTATGAAACTAGGGAGCACCTCCAGAAATGGATTTTACTATGTAAAGGAAGGTTTCTAGATAGCTGGTAAGTAAGATCCAGGACAATATTTGCAGACACAATGAGGTCTGGATGAAGAAGAGAGGCTTCCTTCTTTGCATCTCTTTTTAAAAGGGGGCAAACCTTTTTCTAACACCCACTCTCTAGGAGATTAGGTAGAGAAATAGATAACTACTTTCTAATTCAGAGACTCTCTGATTGTGGTGACAAGTCAAAAAGGAAATCCATACCTATAACTATGAACATGTTGTAACTGTTGTCCAAAAAGCTATTTTGAAATGCTAATTTATGCTCAGACACAGTGATCAACTGAGCTGAATTGGGACAGTGGCCACTCTATCTATTATGGATATGAGTGGCTGGTAGTTTCCCTCTTTTTTCCCCACATCTCAGTACTCTTCCCTCAAAAAGATGGGTTCCAGCTCTCCCCCTGTATCTGTTGATGGTCTGACTCATTTCTTTGCCAACAATTGGCGCCTGTTTTCTGTCAGCTGACTGGCACTGCAGCATTTGGCACTGAGGGAGGAGAAGGCATGCGCTGGAAGCTTTCAGAAAAGATCAGGCATGTGGTGATCATAAGCCTAACTTCTGATAGAGCCCAGAATCAACTTGAGAGATGATTAACTGGAGAGGGCTGGAAGATAATGTCTCCCAGGGGAGCTGACGCTGGTCCAACAAGATGGCCCAGGAAAAAGGGATTCTGTCTGGAGAAATGCATCCACATCTTGGACAGTCACAATGCATACTAGTATATTAAAAGAACTTCTGGAAAATATAATTAAGAAATAGGAAAATCTCAGCTTTTAAGTCAGTGTTTTACAAATGTATGTGACTAGGGAATCCTTTTTCAACACACACACTCACACATACAGGGCATACATACCTCACTGATCAATATGGTGAAGAACATGCTTTGGGGGTGGGGGGGGGAGGGCAAATTAGCATCAATAGAGGAAGGTGAAGGAATGAGAAGAGAAATAAAATGGCTCAACACAGTAGAAATTCTGAGACTGTGTGCCCAGAATGTAATGTCCCAGTTCTCAATATGGTTTGGAAGCTTTGGGTCTGCACTATACATAAATTCATATGAGATTGATTTTTATTCAAAGGATGCCTGAGCTCTTGAGCTGGCCTGTTGCTCCCCTAAAGGAAGAGTTTTGGTTTATTTCAAGACATCACGGGGTGATGACTGACAATGACAACTCCCTCTGTCACTTTTAAATTTATTAGGGTTTCCAAAATTTCAAGGAAAGAAGCAGCATAAAATGTATCTACTCTCATTCCCTGGAGGCATGGATTGCCTATTAAGGCATTAACTAAAAAATTATTTTTTAAACAACTTAGATTTAAAGTTAAAATGTGAAACAGATTGACATAGTGAAAAGATGGGATCAGACCAGTTTTAAAATCCTGGCTTAGCTGTGTGACTGTGGGCAGGTGACTTAACCTCTCTGGATCTCAGTTTCTATATCTGTAAAAACGTTTCACTTGCAGAATAATGCAAACATTAGAAATAATATACCCTCATGAATTAGCTCATCCCTCTAAAAACATAGAATATATGTATTTAATGTATTGTAGTAATAACATAGTAATAATAAAAGCAATTTCTCATTTCAAATAGCAAAGTCAGTAATAGAAGATACACAGTACTCATTTGATTCTCATACTATAAATATATTTTAAAATATTAAGTCACCTTTTCATCTTGCTAATATTAGGTATATAACCTGCATTCTGGGATAACTGCTAGATTAAAATTTCAACTCTACTCCTTACTATCTGTGTGATTTTGAACAAACAACATCATCTCTCGCTGCCTCCACTTTCTCATCTACAAAATAGGGGACATTAACATCATTTATCTCCTATTTGTTTCACAATTGTTAAGAGAGTTCAGTTAGAAAATGCTCTATACTGTGAATATAGTAAAGGACCCATTGATTTTCATTTTTGTTAATATCGATACTTCTCAATGCTTTTTAAATTTTTATATTTGAAAACTAGTACTCCAACTCATTACACAAAAAAAGTTTGGACATAAGACCAAATTAAACAAATGATTTCCTTTTCCTGATTCCTCCTTTCTCTTTATTTATCACCTCTGGCTTTCTGTGACCTCGGGTGACTGCTCTTTTAGTGTCTCTCAGCTATCACTTTGAGCACTTCTTTGCCATTGCAGTCTGGTCTACATTGGCTACGAATAAATGGTTTTCACTGTGACCTTAGGAGCTGAAGGTTCACATTAGAATGGCCGTTCCCCAGGCAACATCATCTGACCAGTGACAATTTATGGTATTCCTCTCTTTTTCATGGATTCTAATACTGTCGTCTTTATTGAATTTGTAGTTAAGAGCTACACATTTGAATCTATTTGGCTCTAAAGTCCATTTTCTTTTCATGAAACCACAGTATTAATAAGACCAGTGTCTCACTAATAATAAAAATTAACATTTATTGAACATTTACTAGGTACAGGAACTGCACCAAATTACCTGCATTATTTTATTTAATCCTAATAGCACACCTGTATGGGGTAGCCTTCACTGTTACAGATGAGGCAATAGGGATTAGAGAGGCGGAATGATGTGGTCAAAGGCACACACCTCGGAGATGATAGAACCAGGATCAGAATGACTTGTGGCTGACTGTAGAGCACAACACACTTCTAGCCACGTTGTGTTGGTGATACATTGTCAGTTGATTGTTTTTGTTTTGTGTTTTGCCCTTTAGTGAGTGGGACAACATTGTTTACAGCAACTCTTTGATAAGCTTAAGGCTTATGGCTTTTTGCTTTGTCTAAGTACAAATCACATAACAAAGTAGCAGCAGATTTGGGGCCATTCATTCGTGTTTAGTAGATACAGAATGACCGGAGCCAGGGAGTGAATGTTCAGATGAACAAAATGGGCTTGATCCACCTGTAAGAGCTCTGTTGGAAAAGATAAGGTCTCAAAGCTGGGTTTTCCTCATTCTGGTTCCCTCTGATATGATAACGAAGAAGCCTAGGCATTTCTCTTTCACTGCAAGCCCCTCTTAAAAATTTCAGCTCAAAATTTGTACTATACAAGAAGCATTCCAAAATAAACTTTCAAAACAAACTGGCACATTACTGTGGAACATCCGAGTAACCCTCGTTGCTGTAAACTGAAAACTGTGCATGAAATAGGGGCAGTGGTAGACTCTCTCCAAGTACGAGTTTTGGGCTGGGCCCTTGTGGTGTCTGGACAAGAAGTGGTGATACAAGGAGTAACTGTAAAGGATTGAAGGCAAAGCCTAGAGGCTGTTTTGCTCACTTCCAAACAACATCTAGGTTTATGGACTACCTGTCCCTGGGTCTCTTAGGGACAGGGATAGAGGAACCAAAGGTGGAAGGGAACAATCACGACCACCCTGCAAAAACAAATCTGGGAATGTTTCCCCTGCCTTGTTCTATGAACAAGAACTGCTTCTGAACTTGTGGCCCCCTCCCCAGGTAAATATTCAATGAAGATGCTTACAATATGGGCTTACGTGAAAGTGGAGGATATGTGGGTGTAGAGGAGGGTGGACGTGCTTTATGGAGTTCCAGGCTGCAGGTTGTGTGGAAGTAACACACATGGTAGAAGTTTGGCATAGAAACCAGAGAAGTGATTTCTGCTTCTGTCCACATGGTGTGAGAATGGTAGATACAAAAACTATATAGCTGCTTCCCTGTCCTACACTGATGATAGAGTAATGCTTTCGTAACATCTATGTGTAGCAATGGACAGGCAATACAAACTGTACAAATACAGAGTGCAAGCCAAAACTCAGGTCTGCAAAAATCACTTCATTTTTTTTTCATAACAGAACTTTGTTTCTATCAAGAGTTCCCATTCTAATAAATAGTGTGAACTTGATGTAAGCCAATCATGTTTTCTTCCCTTGCCCTAGGATTGCATCTAACTTTTGAGAGAAGATAATGTTAAGTATCGAAGCATTGAATTGGGTAGGGATGGGAGAGAAAGGGGAATCTAGGTGTCTGTTTTGAATTCTCTTCTGCCAATGCTGTTATTAGCTGAAACATTAATTCTAGTCTTTGGGAAGTCCTGCGCTGATCAGTGTTATGCCATGCTACTCTCAAGTATGTGTGACTCACTTCTCTCTACTATTATCTACAAAATATATTGCCTGTACAAAAGTCATTCATGATCTCAGGTCTGATTTCAGAAGGAACTAATCTGAGACATACCTTTGAAAATGAAACTTTCAAAGCTTGGACAAGGTCTTTTTTAGCTATGGACTCAGCAGCATTAAGAGGTGTATGATTTAATACTGCCTCTTTTTTTGTGCTCTAGGCTCAGGAAGGCACAAGTTGAAAGGGATGACATTGGTAGTGGAATGAATAAATGGAATTTTTATTGTATTTGTCAGTTTTGTTGCACAATAAGGCTGCATAACAAACTATCTCAAGTCTCAGTTGCTTACAAGTATTTGTTCTTATTCTCCTAACTGCTCTGGTGACAAGTTCAGCTTATTTGGGCAGTCCTCATCTGGACAGCTCTGCTTCATGCTGTGAGTTGGCTGGATGTGGGTCCAGAATGTAGATCTGTTCCATATACATTTGTTCTGGAAACAGGCTGAAGAGGCAGTAGTTCCCTGGTGCACACTCTTCTCATAGCACTAGATGACTGAAAAGCAAAAGCCAGGACAAACTGTACAAGCACACTGAAAGTCTTTGCTTGTGTCACGTCCATTGGCCAAAACAAATCACAGGATCAAGCTTAACATAGATGGCCCAAGAAACTACACTTCGTCCACAGGGGCAAGGGGGTAGAGTAAATCATTATCATCATCATCATCATCAGTATTAGTACTCTAGCCTTACAAAGTTATGAGGCAATTAGGAAAACATTACTTTTCTTCCTTGTGGATGGAAACTGTATTTACGAATTAATGCTTATCTCAGTGTGTATTTGGACTTGTACTTGCTGTCTGCACATGGCTCATCTAACAGTTACCAAATGGGCATTCAGAAGAAACCAGAGAGCTGTCTTTAACCCTCCCAGTAGGTAGACTTTCAAGATGGCTGGATTTTGAGGACAAAAGCCAGTGAGAACAGTTCTTCTGGAATTCTTGAAAAACCATTTTAGTTTGACTTAATATTTGTAACTCAGCAGAAAGGGATGGAGTATGGGGGAAAGTCAACCCACCTGGAAAGAACACAGACTCTGAAGTGGCTGGGTGGCCATTCCAGGGACGGAGGTTTGAAGGAGCAGAGGAATGTGGGCCTGAGGATGGGAAATTAAAGTTGGAAGTTAGGAACTTCTGATAAGTGGCCTCTGGGGAGGGTTTAATGTGGAGCTACTATGTCTGGCCTATAAAAAAGTCATTTTTGATGAACTGCTGCAAGTCCTTTCTCTCACACATAGTAAATCCCTTTGGTTTTTGCTTTATTTTTTTTTCCTTCAACACTTCAATGAAGGTTCAGTCAAATAACTTTGGATGTTGTCAAAAAAGTAAAAGACTGACCTATAAAGGAAAATGAAACATACCTGTTGATCCTTAAATCGCCTTTGAGAAAGCCCATTTTTCTCAAAATTGGGTTTTTTTCACAAAAGGAATTAGCTTCTTAATGTAAACCTTTAACTTTTCTTTTTTTATAGTTCATTTCAGAAACACAGTAAGAGAAGGAGATTTTGTTTTTGTTGGAAACATGAGCTTTTTTCCTTTTTGACTTAGTGAGAAACCATTTATTCTTCAGATGTATAAGCATATTTTACATATTCCGGTTAATACATCAAGTGTATAATGTGGGAGTTCCCTTAAAAACACTAAGACCACGCATGTGAAACTCAGCTACACATTGTATTAGGCGATTAGACAAATGCCACTTTTAATGTCACAACACATACATATTATACTTTTTCTTTCACTGACAGAGGAACATGCCTTTCAAAAATATTTTATTGGATGAAACTTTCTTATTCTCAGGAAAGTTTTGGCTCTTTAATATAATTTATTATGCTTTTTAAAATTCTGATAAAAGCATTGGTACATTATAAATACCTGTAAAGAAAATATAGTTTAAAATTCCGAGGGAAATATTATATAAGTTTCCTCTTTTACGTTTTCACAAAAACCCATACAGGCACTAAGAAAGACTGACAAAAATATTCTATGCCTGAAGAATATACCCCCGGTTGGAAACATTCAAACATGACTTTATGTAAATATTAAAGCTTCTCTAGAGTGAACCTTTGACTACAATCCAATGAGTTGGTTGGGGGTTTTAACCAGGAAAAGACACTATTAGAAGGATTAAAAAAAAAAACAAAAAGCTTCATACAATTAGCATGAGAGTAGGAAAGGGGAAAGGATAAAGTTTTGTCTATGACCACTTATTGGCCTCTCTGGGCCTCAGCTTTGTATTGTAGTTGAAAACTTATCTAATAACTCTCTGGTCCTTTTTGGCTTTAATACTTTTTGATCTGCTTCAATTTTCAAAATTCTGCCCACTACTCTACATTGAACACCATGTAAAACTTCCAAAGATAGCGTGACACTGGAGTTCTTTTAGGACAACATCCTTAAAGCATCATGGTGATTGCTCTGCACAGGCTTTTATTCTGCACAGATACAAATGGTAGATGGGTAGGTGAAACTTTTTCTGATCTACCATACTTCAAACCATAGCAGGTGACAGACTCTTGTGTTCTTTTCCTACTCTATCTAGTTCAATGTAGTTATCCTCATGGTCCATTTCATGTGTGGCATTATGAAGTTCAAATCATAATAAGGGATTATAGACAGCAGACTCAATGGGGGAATGCCAGCTTTGTAGGTGACTGAAGCGTTGGTGAGCACACGGAGAATGGGAAGCTGAAGGTTGGCCATTAATGAATTCCTGTAAATGAGAATCCAGGGAAGGTGCGTATTAAATGTGAATATGTCAAACTAGACTTCAGAGGTACTTTCAGGGGTATAAAATATCATTTTCCCCCACCTATAAATTAATTAGATCATGGCAACTTCTCATCATGACTGATTATCACACAGATCCTACCCGGAAGAAATAGAGGATTTTTTTTTCCTAATGCATGTATACTTTGTGTAAGTTTGTTTAGAGCAGCAGTGGGAAAAAATCAAATGCTTTATGAGTGCTGACCAGTAAGGTAGCACTTTAAGCCACATGGAGCAGGGCACCTCAGGGACCTGCTACTCAACCTAGCTGGGCAGCTGCTATTCAGCTCTAGATAACTGTTGCCAGGAAGGGAAATGGGTGTGAGAATCAAGTTTTATGTGAACTTTCATATTTTTAATAATCACTCATATTTTTAAACCATTTGACGTGCCAAACAAAATCTACCTGAGGGAAAAGTGTGGCCCATGGACTCTTGTGGCCTCTCGAGCTGAATACTGGAAGCAATTTGGTAAGAATTTCAATACTACACTTGTGTAGACTGGGGAAAAGCCTTGATGGTAAGGAATGAACACTCAGTTTTAAAGACCTGGAAAAACCTATTCTAATGAATGCAGTTTAAAAACAAACAAAACCTACCTTTGGCTCTCCCCATTATAAAAGTTTTCGTGTTTACATTGGTTCTCAGTGTTAGGAATGGTTTCCTATTATAGTTGTTAAATATGACAAGAGATTTGCCAAATCGCAAGTATGAGTTTGTTCTAAGAAAGTAGTCTGAATTACTTCTCTCAGTATTCAGTTTGTGGCTGAGAAGCGAGATAGGTAATGAAATTATAAGGGGACAGAGGGGAAGGCCAGAGCACACACCTCAAGTCCTGGTCACTTTTAGATCCACAGAGGCCTCTACATGACATACCAAGCAAAGAGAAATGTTCTAACACTGCTCAAACCAGATAACACAAATCTCAAGAATTGTTTCTGGATCTAAATTACTCAGTGTCTCCCCAAAATGACCAGATCACCATTTCCTGAATGAGTAGTACTTTGGCTATGGGTCTAATTGGGAACTTTTCATTAGAAACTTTCCAAACCCATCTGTGGCATCACAGTTAAAGAGCCATGTGGCAAAGACAAGGGACACGTTGTAGGAGCAGTGTTCTTTCCTTAATTCTTTGCAGATTACTCCTTCAAATTAATATGGTACCCAGGCGATGCCTTTTCTTTCAAGAAATGAAATGGTGGCTCAAAGTGGCATTCTAATGCGGTGTGAGGACCACAAATGAAATGAGCTGTGGCTCCAGAAAGAACAAAGCATTTCACTTGTGCAGGCAGGGAAGATGTGTTTTGAAAGAGTCATTATCAATTCAGAAAGTTGGATTTCCTACTTGAGCTCATCCTTTTCAAGTGCTTAGTTGGGGAGTAAAAGCAAAAGTACCACAAAGGACATATCATAAGCATAAGAATCAACGGCAAAAAACAACCACTTCAGACACAGGCAAAATCTAAGGGGAAGGAAGAAGCATGAATATTTCCAACTCAGGACCCCACACTTATTTTAATTTTCTTCCCTCAGAATGTCCACCAGAGCTTGCAGCAGCCGGTCATCTCTGTGCTTATAAGGTTTGGTGTTATAGAAAACATCAACATAGTCATTATATAGACTGTCCTCGGAGTCTTTTAGCTGGGAAGGCTTGTTCAGCTTTTCCAAGGCTTCATAGAAATTTTCGTAAGGGATGTTGAGCTTTGCACTTGGAGGCTTCTTTGGTGATTGCTTTGGGGGTGAGTTTTTGCTGAAAGCACTTTGAAGGAGTCTCAGCATCGCCTCGGATGGGGCTGCCTCTGCCAGCTCATCCTTCCTGTCCCCTGTACCGTCGCCACTGGTGCTTTTTGACACGAGGGGGTTCTTTTTCAGGTTCTGTTGCGTGGGCTGCTCCTAAAACATAGGACGCCACCGACAAAAGGAAGAAGATTCATTATTTAGAGCCAAGCAAGCCAGCTGCAGTACATGCCCGCTGCCCACTCCTTAAGAAACCTTCTGAGAAGCAGAGACAGCATAAGGCTTAGGGACATACTAACTTGGGCTTCAGTCCTTTTTGCGTTTTCTCATGTTCCCCTGGTACCTGTTTAATTTCCCTGAACTTCACTTGTGAAATGGAAACAAGAAGCTTTCGTTTCCGGTGGTTCTGAAGACTGAATGGGATCATGTATATGTGTTCATACTTTATTGGCCTCCTGTTCTTCTCAGCCTTCTATAGCAGAATTCATTTTAGGGAATTTAATAATTTTGAATTCTTTAATTTTAATCCTGGATGAAAGAAATATTTTTAAAAATAATATGGCTTCATCCTATGGAAAGTAAACAGTTTACCATTCCCACTGCCTTTCCTCCTTGCCCACGGTTTGGGAAGAAGCTGATACTAAAATATTTAAGAACTCCTACAGAAGACACCAGCAATG